TCATCGCGTGAAGTATTGCATACTGACAACGCCGACCACACTGCAAGCGAAATGTGAATGTGTACGGCGGATGTTTTCTATATCTGACGTTACGGAGTTGCTCAGGAAAGTGATGGGTGAAGGCTTCACCTGTGACTACCAGCGACATGGTCAGGGTGTCGACGCCGAATTCGTTCGCCGCTGTACAGGTGTAATTGCCGATGTCTGCCACTCGAACACCTTCAATGCTGAGAAGGACGCTGCTCGCTTTGGTGACGACGGTGATTCGGTCCGTGTTTCCCACTGCGTCGCCGTCCTTGTACCAATTCATCTTGTAAGGTCCTGATGAACCCTTCTTGACAAAGCACGTCACAACTGTATCGTCTCCGAGTGATACTTCAGTTGGGAATCCAGTGCTTTTTAGCTTGGGAGGCGCTGAAAACGTTCAGTAGGAGACTCGCTACAGTCGAAATATGCGAAGGAAAAACTGAATATTTGGCTAATGGGCCGCGCACTCCTAATAGGCTGAACTATTGGACTTCATTTTGAAGAGCTCACAACAAGACGATAATGCTCACGAGAAACTAAATATACGGGTGCTCACTTCCTTCTTTTAATTTTTCGATGGTTTTGTTTCTTCATGACAAGGCTGAATAGTAGGTTACAGGCTACACCATGCATTCTAATATAATTACTTTAAACGCTAACTTCTGCGTGCTTAGCTTGGTGAATTCTGTTAATCCAAGGAATGAGACGTACATCCAGGGGGAGTTCTGTCACTCTCATTAACAGAACTTTGAAACATGTTAGATACGAATCAATGCCACTCAGTAATTGGCAATTGCAAAGAGAAGCCAACTAAAATGTCTCATCAAGGTCTCATTATGCAAAAGTGAAAGTAAAAGCTCACCTTGTGCATCGCCTGCAGTAATGAGAACTAAATGTAGCTAAGGTAGAAACCGCCAACTTTCTCATCGTGGAGTATTGAATTCTCTCACTCGAGTTGTCGGGCACGCAGCACACAACCTGCGACCGTCGCGACGTTTCAGCAGACACGTCAATGAGCCGGCGAGCGCGATTTCCCTTCGAAGAGCCCACTGAAAGGTACAAAGACGTCGAGAAATGGACAACTAGCGGCACCTCGCGGACGTTTTGAGAAGCTGAGTCGATGTCGCGCGTTTTTGATGGTCTTCGAATAGCGCTTCGCGATACCCACGTCCGGGCGGTGTCTTTTGCAGATTCGAGCAACTTTTTACGCTTACTTATTAGCATTCTGTGCTCGATTTGCGGTGTGCATCTCGTTTCGTAGGTGACACATTTGTGAGCGTTCATTAATTGCGAGGCTGCCTACCTTCTCTTCCGCTTTCTGTGGGGAGCACCTTGTGAGTAAAGTTTCACTTCTGAGGTGGGTAAATGCTTCCGTTTCCTCTTCAACTACACTCCAAGAAAAAAAATAGGTGCGTTTTTTTCTTACTATAAATGGTGGGTCCTGACAGACGTGCATCTGTGAAGAGACACGTGAACGCCATCGGGGCTCACAATACTCTCGAAAACATGGTTAAAGTGCCTCTTTAGGGGCGCTTATGCACGGGACAAGTCAGAACATCATAGCACATACTTTTTTTTTTTGCTTAGAGGGCTAACATGTCAAAGCATCAGTGGAGCACTTATAGGCGACACAGAATTAAGGCAAAACCACCAGCTGGACAGCTGTCTGCCCTACTATTTGATGGTTTGCTTGGTAATGTTACTCGATAGTCGAATAGCACGACAGAAGCGCGTGAAGACTCTGCCCGGGCAGCCGAAGCGGATCAAGCAATAGTCTCAGTCGTGCACTCCGCAATGTCCTCTGAAGGCGGGCTCACCGGACGTCCAGATCGTGACGTCCGTCTTGTGCGCGCGTCTATAGGTGCTAGCTCGTACCTTTGGAAAAGAAATGCCGCCAACTTTAAACTTGTGTGCTATTATTGAGCTTGAAACACTTGTTGGTAGCACTTACATTCTAGTAGGCATTGCCAAATATTTTCAAAGCAATATCGGTCTTGCGAAAAAAAAATGTTTTCGTTTTTGTCTCCCTTCCAAGAGAATATTCTGCAGTTCTGTGTCGTATTCTTTTTAGCCTTCTGCAATCGTAGAATGTGACATTTGTCACCACTTTGCAATCTGTAACTATGAACAATCTACCCGTGAACACAAAAAACACGTATGTATGTATGTATGTATGTATGTATGTATGTATGTATGTATGTATGTATGTATGTATGTATGTATGTATGTATGTTTGTATGTATGTATGTATGTATGTATGTATGTATGTATGTATGTATGTATGTATGTATGTATGTATGTATGTATGTGGCGTACGAATAGGCGCCACATACACGGTTCACGTAACGGTTCACGTAACGCAAATAATTTCATCGACAGTCGTTCACTGTGCCCTCAATTATCGGCATCTCGTGGCGGCGGCTAATCACTTATCATCCAGGGGAGTTCATTACGATTCTCATCGTATCTTATCTTATCGCCACTATTACTCCTGTCAGGTTGACTGTATGACGCCTCACGGGGGGTTTGCGTCGCCCTACAACTGGCTGGCCGATGTGCAAACATGAAACATCTGGAACGCTTTCGCTTATTCCCGAAGAAGCGTTGCACAGGTAGTGTGTGTATAGACAGCTTTTGCAGCTGCTGTAGTTTGTCAAGCTCATTCATATTCTAAGTGGATTAAGCATGGCATCGAATGTGGAAGGTTTACGAAATTCCTACGTTATATAGATCGCTGGCGTAAATAGTTAACCCTTAGAAATCCATTTGTGAATTCTGCATGGGTACATCACACGCACTCATACAAACATATACACGAACACAGAAAAGTGTGGTCGAACCCTGCCCACCCGGCCCCCTGCTCACTCCCCCCTCCCACCCTCCCCGAAAAATATTTCTGGCTACAGCCCATTTAGCAATCGCCTTTCATTTTCTTACAGGCCTTCATCCAAGAAAGTGGAATTCACAATAGCGATACCAAGCAGAACAAATCGCAGCCGTGGTGCATAAAGAAACGAAAAAAAAAATGTTTAAGATGATCTGTTCAGTGTTTCAAGATTATCTAATTGAATGATGACCCTCGTTTTCCGTTCCTAAACTTCATATGAGTTCGAGGCACGCCGTTGTGGGCAACCATGGATTAATTTTGACTCCCTGGAATTCCTAATAAGTACGCAAGCACTTTTTAAGAAGTACGCCTTCAGCCGCCACTTAACAGCGGCCGCCGGAACCCGGATTCGAACCCGCGCGCTCGCGCAATGCACTGCAGCCCGATTTGTTTCTACATTCATACCATGTACGACGAGCTGCGCCGTCACGCTGTCACTTCCGAAGCGGTTTCTCGCCGTGCAGCTGTAGTTGCCGACGTCATCGGCTCGGAGATTGGCGATCCGAAGCGTTACGCTTACCGCAGACAGCGGGGACACGGAGACTCGGGCATCCGTTCCCGTACCGCTGAGACCCTCGCCGTCTTTTTCCCACGTGATCTGGTAGGGTCCCTGGCTGCCCTTCTTGACCACGCAGATGACCGCAACTTCGTCCCCCGGGGCGACGTCCGAAGGAAACAATAGTTCTCCCAGCTTCGGTGGCGCTGGTCGCATTATGAGGAGGGTACATGTAAAGTGTTGTCATTTATCGCCGAAAACGCTTTGCGTATTCAAATGAAGTCGCGTAAAGCGAGGAGGATCATGCAAAACGAAAATGGAGACTATGTTAACAAGCGTCTCACCAGTTGCAGTTGTTGCCGACGCCGTCGAAGCAAATGCGACCACAAGAACCAGCGCGGCGATATAGTTCGCGCACATCTTGGTGTATTGCGAGCTGATACGGTTAATACAAACTCGGAGTGCGCGCGCCTACGTGGGTGCAGCTGAAAGAGCGGATGGATGCCTCGGCTGCCGGATCTGATGCGTTTTGATGCGCAGCTTGGGACGTAGTATCGGCGAGTGCAAGCGTGCGAAAAACTGGACAACTAGCGCCACATCGTGTTTGATGAAGGCACTAACACCGCGAGGAGTTTTGAATGTCAGCGCGCGAGCGCTGTCAGTCAAATACCGGTTTGATGGAATGACAGAATGGTTTGTTGCAGCTATCTTTAACACGTGGAGCACAGCAAGTGTGTTTGCTGCGTGTTGAACAGCATGGTAACATGGCTCGATCTTTTGAATGTTTTTACGTTGTCTTTGGGTCTGTCAGGTGCGGCAAAATTAAAGCCTGCAAGAAGCATGCATACAAGGTACAGCTTGGATGAAAATAAAATTATATGAAACTAAATTACTGTATGATTTGCGTAACTGTATCCAGTCGAACTCCTTCGTAAGACCGATGGAAGTGAAAATGCTGTAGGCCCGTGCGCTCAGATTTGGGTACACGTTAAAGAAGCCCAGGAGGTCGAAATTTCCGGATCCCCCCACTACGGCGTCTCTCATAATCGTATAGTAGTTTCGGGCCGTTACACCCTACATATAAATCAATCCTTCGTACGACACCGATGTGAGAGACAAATGGATATAAAAGACACCAGTGCGCCTGCATCAAAATAGGTGTTAATAAAACGCGTACGTGATACCCTGCGTACAGGAGCCGCCTCGCCTAAAAGGGCGTAGTCGCTTCCTGGTTGGTGCATGCCTCTCCTAACAGGGTTCAGCTGGGTTTTCACCCAATTTTCATGAAATCGCATCAAAGGAAAATAAAAAAGAACTAGTTGAATCGATTCACTTGCATACATAAAAGTACGTTTATCTGAGAAACCTTGTTACAAGAAATATGTTCGAAAAAAAGAAAAGTGCTTTCGATGAAGTGAGATCTTGTGTACATTTTGGCGGCTGACGCTTGTCCATGGCTCGCGGTTTTTGCACAGTATATGCCTTTGCAATCTCAGTATATCGCCGTCCAGCTGTTCAGGTTCCTCTTTGCTTTCTTCTCTGCCGCAGCTAAGGAGGAGCACCGGTGCCCGGTCGAACGACCATCGAGTCATCAGCCAGTGCACTGTTCCAAGAAGAACCTCATTCTCTCGACATGCGCTGCACTTGCCTGGTAAGTTCCTCCGGCTTCTTCAGCATGCAGTTGTGACAGTATTGTTATATCTCCCTTCGTTCGTGAGTGTAGTGAATATATCTCCACTCATTCAAGATGATTATATCTCCTGTCTAAGATGATTGGAATGCCTTTCTTGTCTCGCTGAGCTAATTAAATACGGAGGATCGGTAGTTTCCAAACGATTCCGCGGTAAATGAAATCACAGTAAGTATTTCGCACTGTTCTGAACATTTGCAGCCATGAGACAGTGGCGAGAACGTCGAAAATGGCGAGTAGTTGTCGGGGTGTCTTCTCACGCGCCGAAAGAATGTGCTTTCTTTCTGCGGATGCGAGACAAGGATCACCTACTTCATTTACACACACACTCACGCACACCTCGTAAAACGTCAACGCTGGCAAGGTCTGTCCTTCTAAAGCTCTGGCATTCACAGCCAGCGCGGACACGCCCATTATTACCACGCGGCAAACACGTTCCACGATGCGCGGATTGGTGCTGCGCTCGCATGCAGGAATCTAAAGAGAATGGCCAGAGCATTTCTTGAACCGCATCCCCTTCTGTGCGTGGCACTAGCTTGCGGCTTGAGAAGAATTTACGAATTCTTTATTATTTTTTAATTTCAAATTACTCCTGTCAAAATTATTGAGGCATAGTAGGAGTAGGTACAAATGTTCAACACAAGGGAAAAAATTACAGTTTAACAAGATACATGATTACGCAACTCTTGTTCGAATTGCTGAGCATCAAACGTGTGCAGAGATCCACGAGTTGTGTGCAGTTGCTTCCACCAGCCGCATGCGTGTGTCGTTTCAACGGTCGGTGAGGTAAAAAAATGATAATTGTCATTATCATATTGTGGTTATATTATTATTATTGCTGTTGATGATGATTGTCAACTTTCGTGTTACCATCATTAAAATCAGTCACCACAGTGCTTATTCGGGCCGGTTGATACACGGCCGTAGAAGACGAGAAACAACGTGAACCACACGGCAGAGATGGACTAGGCCTTGACTTGTGCTTTACATAGCTAAAGCTTCGGAGAGTTTGTTCACATACATAGTAGAAAACGAAGCGCAAGAACGACAGGAAAGAAAAGAAGGCGATTTTTTTTCCTCTCGCGCTTTTGCGCTGTGTTTTTCATTGTGCTTACCACCGAATGCAAAAATGTTACTTGACACGTACTTGACTTGAGCCAGTCTCAAGACATACCGTGGCCTGTACTTGAGCCTATAGTCTGTACCGTAGTGTGGACTGAGCCTAAGTTCAGACCACGGTCTAAGCACTTGGTCGGACGGACTAAGTGCTTGGTCCGTCTTTGTCCCGTCTTCCTGCACGTGGGTAGCGCTACGGTCCGTCACCATATCAAAGTCAAGACTACCCTAACACCCCAGCCGTGAAAATGTAAAATACAAACTATCCGCGCCGCAGCAGCTGGACGGAGCTCCTGGACTCTAAAGAGATTGTCTTGTTGTAACGTTGTCGACGGTGTTAGACGTGTTCTGGCTGGAAGAACACGTACTGGACAGAGCGAATAACAGGCGTCCAGGTCTTTATCATGCGCATGGCTGCTAGAAAAGATAACCCGTTGAGGACCGGGATAATGACTCTTGGAGCAGTAAAAAATAAGTTGAATGGTCGATTACAGCTATATAGAGAGGAACGTCTCAATACCATTCAAAAATTAACACCATTTTGCCATAACCGCGGATGACCCAGAACACGTGACGTTCAAAATACAAAGCGGTGTGATTAGCTTATATCAAGTATGGTGGTACAGCATTACCGAAGGAAGTTTGCGCGCCTATATCGCGATGATTCTCGACACATGACACGACTGCATGTACACTTTGTTCGAGGGCAGCCACCGAACAGTGCTACAGAGAAAGCCGTCGTGTATATATCAGATCGGACATGATCGGAGCGGGCACACTGAACTTGAGAATGTGTTCACCTGTCACGACAAGCGGCATGGAGATGCTGTCGTCGCCGAAGCGGTTCGCCGCCGTGCACGTGTAGTTGGCGACGTCCTCCACCCGGACGTCGTCGATGTTGAGCACGGCCTTGCGCGGTCCAACAACGACGGTGATTCGATCCGAGCTACGCACTTCTTCGCCGTCTCTGTACCAGGTCATCTGGAACGGTCCCGACGAGCCTTTCGTGACCACGCACATTGCGCCGGTGTCGTCACCGAGCGATATTTCGCCGGGAAACCCGCTGCTTTGTAACTTCGGCGAAGCTGTAACGTGAACGGAGGGTGAACATACCTCTGGGGTGTATCCAATACGCGCGAGGGGTCTAGGTATAGCTGCCACAGTCTGCCGACTTATTATTGTTTATCGATGTGTTATATATGTTTCAGTAAAGATAAAGCATACATGAATAATTAGGCGAATTCACATAAGGGTAAAAGAACGACCTTCCGCTAATTGGTCGTGATGCTTTTGGTGTGAGATGTAGTTTTTACCCTGAAAAAAGAAAACAAAGAGTAGAAGACGTACGGCTGCGGGAGTAATGTTAGAGACTAGTCGCGGGCATAATAAAAGTGTCGCGCATATAGTTATGGGTGCCGCAGATGAACCAAGGCATAATAAGTTGTTGCATGCAGTCTTGAAAGCTGAGGTTACGCCGAATAGGCTCGCTCTGGATCTGAGCTGAACACTACAAACATAGAGCGACTATAATAATCATCAAACTAGTTTTAGAAGCCGCATTCGCGGGCTCACCTTGCGCCTGTGCACTTGCAGACAGAAACTGAGTCGCGAACGCAAGGAGTATGCGCAGTAGGCTCATGCTGAACGGCGAAGCAGCTGAAGCGTCCTGCACGCAGCGATTTTGCTGAATGTCATCTCCCTCCGAGGAAGCGGCTTTTCGACGCTGAAACATTCCGCGCCACAGCGCGGGCAACTAGTGGCGTCTAGCGGAGCCTTTGAGAACTACGTTCAGGGCGGGTGTTTCGAGTGCGGTATATTCCGACATCTTTCTGCAGGTACGTTGCTACCATTTGTGTCAGGTCTTCTGGGTTACCGGTGGACGCGTGTAGCCGTCATGACTAGTTAGTGGCTTTCGTAATAAATAAATGTTTAATTAAAAGTTCAATACAATAAAAGCGATTGCGGACGTAATACTCGCAAGGACATCCCCCTGCTCGAGGTATGGTGTACAATTCTTCGATATTGTTTGAAAAAATGTAATAATTATTTTACGCTAAGAAAAAAAAGGAACAGAGAAAGTAGAAAAAAATTGCTCTAACGTTGTTTTTTTTTTTTAGGCTTCCTTTTGGCCTGCTAGGCGTATACCGCCAGGCATACGTTTCTGCTATTCAGTAAAAAACCGATCCCCGATACACCGGTAACGAGTTATAGCGCAAACGTCCGTTTGTGACTCATTGTCAGGGTAAAGAGCGGTGTTTTAGTTCGTTGCATAACTACATCATGTAATGAACAATGTGTCCTGAGCGGTCTCAAGGACGTGTAGTGTTGTAAACATAGAAGCTCATTTTTTGTTCATGTCACCTAGTGTTACTTCGAGTGGTCAGACGTCGATAAATATACATGACGAGGAAATTGAAAATGCGGTCCGTCAACACGAAGAAACTGTTGCGTCACTTCTCCTAGACGTAATGCCAGAAAGTATGATGACGTACACAACTTGTTTACATAGTATCGAATTTCACCAACGTGGGTATGTAATTAACGTACGGCGTTCCAGCAGAATGGCACACGACTGGTGTACCCTGAAGACATCAAAGCACTGTGCGATAAAGAGCAAGGCTGGCGTTTCACAAAGATCCCAAACGCAACCGGTGTCTATATTTTCGCTAAATATTCATGATGTAATAAGAAGTAAAACGCGAATTCATAGGTGTGCACAACCTCTCGACGCAGTGTGGAGATTTGTGCGTTAAAATGTGATTTGACTATATGGTGGGAAACGGTGATCAGAAATATGGTGGTTTAAAAGGTCATCGAATAACTTGATCGTTCTTTGCACAGTTCGCTTCTCTCGGTGTCATCGTAGCCACGACTCATTTTCCACAGGCACACGCGTCATACAGGTTATTTCTTGAAAGGTTTGTTTTTTTTTCTGTCTTTTCCATCCTTTTTTTTTTTGAGAACAAACGAACCCTAACGTAGAAACCGCTGTATTATTAGTTACGCAGCGATTACATGTAAAACCAGGTAGGTATAGAATCATAGGCGAGCACGACGTCAAAGCCGCCATCTCTTTCCGGCATGCGTAACGCTGTTGAGAGCGAAAGAGCTTGCCATCGTATTCGAAAATTTACCACAAAATCAACGTCGGAGGAAATTCGTCTAAAGTAAAAGCGTAAAAAGCGTACGCTCTTAAAAGAGAGAGAGAGAAAGAGTGTGAGAAAGAGTGAGGCACGTTTACTCTCTTGCGGGTCACGCGACTCTCGGAAAGTAGTTGAATGACGCCAAAGAAAGAGTGGGCGTGCCTTTTTTCAGGGAGTCATATGCCCGGCACGTCAGAACTACTCGAAAGGAGTCACACACACACTCTGTCTTTTTCCTTAGAGCCTACTATGCCGGCGCGCTTAAATATGCCTCCATCCGCGACTGATTATTACCCTATAGGCTTACGACATGTGGCGCAATGTGCCACACTATAACTGGACACACTGCCGAGTCATGTCTTTGAAGTATAGTATTCTACGTGAAGTGACGAACGCGAAGAATCAGTTATTTGTGATTTAGCCATTATTAGAAAATAAGTTGCGATGTATCGTTTTTTTTTTTTTGCTGATCCTAGTACTTTTCTTACTTCTTCCCCACATGCCCACACATCCACACGCCGACGCGTGGAATCGCGTACGTGTGGTTAGGGCTTAACGCAGATGGAAAGCGAGTGCTCGGTGTGATTGAATGTTACCGTGCACGACGAGCTGCGCCGAGGCGTTGTCGCTTCCGAAACGGTTCCTCGCCGAGCACGTGTAGTTTCCGACGTCCTCGGCCCGAAGGCCGGCGATGTGAAGGGT